GGTATCTGTTTGGTATTTATGGATTACAATATTATTTAATCAGTCATATGCAACGTATGAATTGAATAAGTATATCATAGTTATTAAAAAACAATGTTAAATGAATTTATATTACAAGTGTCATGCCACATAAGGTGTCGTTAGCTCCATTTGACGTCAAGGACAAATATTATGGATGGAAAATTTTAGAGGGGCGATTCATGAAAGGAAATGTTTAGAGGGATTGCTGAAGCGGTAAAGCGGCAAGAAAAAAAGTAAAGTATTATTTTACCGGGTGATAATATCGTATTGTGTCCACATAGATTGGTTATCGAGTCGTCGTTCAAGAAATCATTCATTAATGAGTTTGGGGGTTGAATGGAAAGGGTAAAAGTTATCAACAAAAATTAAATGTATAAAAAGGAAAAAGGAATAACTTATCAAGAATCCATATATACAACTTCTCACATACTTAAACCTATCGACATGCTCTACTCAACATACAATACTCCTCAATGTCACCACATATCACTCACAACCTAAGTCATTTATAACCCAAATCGAGAGGCCTATTGTATCACCTCGGTAGCAATCTCTCAACCACCTCAACAACACAGAAGTCAACCGTGCTAATCGCTTCGACAATCTCTCAGAGCTACACCACCAACATAGAGGCATTAATCACAAACACCCAAGTGAATGTCATCTCTAAATATATATCTAAAATCCAGAAACTAATAGACTATCATCCTAGATAAGAATTCAAGTAATATATGTCTATAACAAGACATGGGCATTCCTCATCCCTACTTGTGAAGCTTCTCAAGAAAATTCCTTTCATCCGTACAAATGCGATCAGGCTAAAAGAATCATGATGGTCACTTTGACCCAATTAACGTCCTCAGAATCATCATCATTCCCTGTAGATGTTTCAGCACGCAACTCCCCAACAATGAAGTAAACTCGGGGCATTTGAAGATACCCATGTCCATTTCCTAGTCCCCAAGTAGTTCGTGGTGTAAGGAAAGTCAGACCGAGCCATTTCCTCCCCAACAATAGAGAAAACTTAGGGCATTTGAAGAGATCCATGTATCTACCCAGCCATCCACAAAGAAATCTAGGATGTAGGGAAAATCATATCAACCTATTTCTCCCTAGCAAGACTACAATTCAATCCCCAACAAGGCTATAACTCAATTCTTGAGTTTTCAAGCACCAATCTGTATTGGTATCTCAAAGACAATGGGTAACAGACCCCGATAAGCCTAATATTTGGCACTCTGCATATAGTAATCATCACTGCATATTACATTGATTCCTCAAATGTGTAGCATATCCATTAAAATAGATCACTACACCATACACTTCAAAATGCATACGAAGCATAAGCCAGATTTGGTACCTTGCACAAAATCCCAAATCAATCCTCAAAATAGTAATACATCCTCACAGAGAATGTCGTACTCACAGTTCCAAGTTCACATCCATCATTACACTACAAACCAAAATAGCCATGGTGCCAGTACATTGTACTCCCAACTCTCAATACCTTTTGTCAATCTTTTCTTGGGTCACAAATTGTCCATAGATCTTACCCTCTAGTTATCTTTTCTTGGGTCGCGGATCATCCATAGATCTTACCCTCTAGTTATCTTTTCTTAGGTCGTGAGTAGTCCATAGATCTTACCCTCGTGTTATCTTTTCTTAGGTCGCAGATCGTCCACAGATCTTACCCTCCTGTTATCTTTTCTTAGGTTGCAGATCGTCCATAAATCTTACCCTATAGTCATCTTTTCTTGGATCGCGAATCATCCACAAATCTTACCCTCATGTTATCTTCTCTTGGATCATAGATCATACACCGATATTCACCCTTTTCAAATATTTTTGGCTTGCGAATCCTACACGATAGATTCTACACTATCGTCGATTTTACCCGTTGTCTCTACCTTTCTTTTTTGGGTCACGAATCCTGCACAATAGATTCTTCGCTGTCGTTGATTTTACCAATTGTATTTACCTTTCTATTTGGGTTGTGAATCCTACACAATAGATTCTTCACTGTCATTGATTACCTATTATCTTTACCTTTCTTTTTGGGTCACGAATCCTGCACGATAGATTCTCCACTGTCATTGATTTTACCCATTGTCTTTTCCAATCTTTTTGGGTCGTGAATCCTACACAATAGATTCTCCGCTATCGTCGATTTTACCCGTTGTCTTTACCTTTCTTTTTGGGTCGCGAATCCTACACGATAGATTCTCCACTGTCATTGGTTTTACCCGTTGTCTTCACCTTTCTTTTTGGGTCGCGAATCTTACACGATAGATTCTCTGCTATCGTCGATTTTACCTGTTGTCTTTGCCAATATTTTTGGGTCATGAATCCTACATGATATATTTTCTAATGTCATCGAATTTATCCATTGTCTTTACCTTTATTTTTTGGTTCGCGAATCCTACACGATAGATTCTCCACTGTCATCGATTTTACCCATTGTCTTTACCTTTCTTTTTTGGGTCGTGAATCCTACACGATAGATTCTCCGATGCCTTCGATTTTACCCATTGTCTTTAAGTTATCATGCTGTCATTGATCCTGCTTTTAGTCACCACATCATCATCAACCATATATTTTCAATCACTATAACACCCACTTCCCCGAGAACCTTGTATTGGCACTGTTACCCCCGTTATAAGCTATCACTACTCAACCATATTTATCCATCATAACTAGTTCACCAGAACACGAATTTTCTATCCCTAGCAGACACCACAAGTAATAACACTTACACCATCTCTCCAGGACAAATTTCAGGTCTTGGTATTTAATCTTCTTCTACCTTAAATGATCGAAATGTTGATTCCAATCTCACTTTCAGATTTAAGATGATTAAATAAGGGCAATTGTCATACTCCAAATTTGTCCTACCTTTTCACTTTTATCTGGCTTAGGCTTTGCATTTAATTTGCATCATTTTCATTAGGTCATTCACATATCATCCCTTCATTCAATAAGGCATGAGATCAAGAAGCAATGTTTGGTACGAATTATGGTTTCACTTTGTTCCGGGCTTGTTTATCAAATAAAGGTTGATTCTTTGCTTCTTCTGAGAATTGGATTTTGAAGCTAGGGTTTTGAGGGTTTCACCAAAGATGTTTTGGCTGATACTGTTTTAGGGTTCTGCCACTCTATCGTCAGGGGACCCTTTCTTTATAAGTGTGGTTTGAGTTAACTTGAGATCTTCCACTAATTATTTTCATTACGAGACATGTCATAGGGATTTATTTCTCAAGGGTTTGAACTCAAAAATATATGATATCTTGTGACCTATGGTTGGAGTTGCATCTTATATTTTCACCTATCAAGTGAGGAGACTAGAGTTTTGGACATTATGATTCAAGGGTGGTGTCTCCAATCAATCACGATGTAACGTTGTGTCTAAATGATGAAAGTTATTCTTTGAATTCAAACATGAATTAGGGTCATTTAGAGCATGGCATACAAGTTTGTTTTGAGTACAAATTCCTATGGAATCAAAAGGATAAACAAGATTCAAGATCCATCCATGGTTTTCAAACAATAGCTCATTCACTTTTCAAGTTTATCATGAATTCAAGAGCAAGTTTCATTCAAGCTATTCAAACATCATTCAAGATTCAAGCCTTATTCTTGTTTAAATTCTTGAAATTCAAGAAATAGTGGTTCAATTTTCATTATAATCCAAGCAACTCCTTTCAACTTTAAGGGTCATCATCAAAACCATTCAAGTGTGGGATTTCAAGTTTCATCAAGAAAAAATATAAGGATTCAAATGCCAAGTGATTCAAATGTCTTTCATTCATCCAAAATTTGTACAAGTACAAAGAAATTAAAATAAAATTATATTCAAATCTATTTTTCATAGTACTACAAGATTACATGGATTCTTTTTAAGCCTAAACTTCAATTTCAAATGTTCACTCTTCAAAACTTGAACCATCTTCATGCTTTGTCTTTCATGACAATTTGTTGTCCAAAACTTGCATACCTCCAAAAACAGAACCTACTACTGCCTCATATCACTTACAAGATGCCACAAAACCTGCTGCCAAATGCCTTGTCTCAATCCTACATAAAACAACAAAAACCCTTATGCTGTCCACTGCATATACCAGTTCAAAACCATCCAAAAAATACATCAAAATAGCCAAAACCAATATGCAGCCAAAAATGTTAAATCAGGCTATCAAAAGTGTTCAAACCTCACCAACCCCCCCCCCCCCCCCTAAAAAACCCTTCTTTTCACTATAAAATAGACACAAGAACACACAAGAAAAAACCAGACACAATCTCATAAAGAACTTCTATCAAAACTCTTCCCTCATACTCTTCTTCAACTTTCATTTTGCAGCAGCATAACATCAACAACATCATAACCAAATCACTCACAAAATTTCTCACCATTTCTTACTCCAACCATTCACCATTCAACCTTCAATACCCTGCTCAAGCACCTGCAACAAAATAGAAACATCACTGCTGCTAAACCGCAAATTCTCACAACCCCAAACCTCACACCACACTCCCTCGAATTACAGACCCTCATCTGTAGCAACAACAACCAACCGTATTCTTAAAGGTAGAAAATCGAAGAAGGAGAATAGATAACAAACACAAGGTTTTAAGCAGAGAAGAATTCAGAGTCATACCTGACATTTTCTCCCTCGCCAGATTTGAATTTCGTCGGACTAGCTCCAACTGTGTAAGTTCTTTCTCTTTCCTTCAATTTATGATATCAATATTATTGCTTGTATGTGTCATATTATTGTTGTGTTGCATCATGAAACTGGAATTTGCGGCAGTGTTGTTATTGTTCTTTCGTTACGTTTAAAAAAATACAGAGAAAAAGATCAGAAAAAAATCTCAAAACCTCTCCCAAAGAAACCACTTCAACATTGCAAAATATCTTCCAAATCCTCCACTATAACTCCCCATCTATTCAACCAATCTTCATAGCAAACCACAAATAATCTCTATTACAAACAACCATTCAACACAATTTTATCAGCAACACATTCAACCTGCAACCAAAAAATCAATAAGCATAAGAAAAACCTCTACATAATCACCAATAGCCTTGCTCAAATATACCAAAAACCATACCACAGTTTCTGCTAAGCCTTCATACTCCATTGCTCTGCAAACCTCACTGCAACTTGGCTTCATAATCTCAATCCCACAGTATTCATTTCTAACCATTATTCCTCTACACAATACATTATCGTCTTCATCAAACCATTCACTGCATCAAACCCCACAAGCCATTTGCATACTGTAATCATAACAATCCATCATTCAAAAGCTCAAATCATTCATAAAGAATAACCATTTGTCAATCTAAATCATAAATCGGATTCAAGTTCGACACAACACTCTCGAACCTTATCCAACAACATCACAGTGACAGAAAGAAAACTCACAGAGAGAACTCACCGAAAGTGTTCGAAGATTTCTCTAAACTTTCTCTGCTCACATCTTCATCAATCTTTCCCATTGACAACAACATCAAATTTTCAGCTTTATCTTCATAGTTTCTCTATAAACCGTCAGCATCAATCTTCACAACTACAACCTTCTACCTATATCAAGCGTTACTCAACATCAACACCGATATCAATTCGCAATACGTAGAACCAATTTGAACACCAAGACAGAGCTTCATAAATAGCTATGGTAGAAGAGAGAATTGGATTTAAGAGAGAGTTTGAGTAAGGATTAGGAAATCTGGAGAACTCAAATCAAGAGGCAGCGATTAAAGAGGTGATTGGTGAACGGTTTTTGTTGTTGAGGAGAAAAAGGGTTTCAGATAGAAATGTTTTTGTGAGGAGCGATTAACATAGGTAAGGGTTTGTTCAGTGATTGAGAGTGTTCGGTGAGAGAGAAGAGGAATGATTGGAAAAGAGAAAGCATGAAGTTTCATCGTGAGATAAGAAAGAGAGAGAGAGAGAGAGATTCATATTTTTTTGTTTTAATTGTGGTTTAATTGGGAAATTAAAAATTAAACACTGACCTATTACCAATGTCAGCCTCTGTGGATCTATTAAAACACCTAGGGTTTGGTTGTTTCAAATTCCCTTGCATATTCCTCTCTTGGGCCTCGACCCGACCCAGTTTCTCTAGAGTCCAATCTTTTCACCTTTTTTTTTTTGTTTAGTTCTAATAACAAATTAAGTGCACTGGATGTGGTGGTGAGTCTAAGGGTGTACAATCCAATGGTCCCGGGTTCAATACCCATAGGGACCAGTTTTACCTTCTTTTTATCTTCCAAAGTTTATTTATATTTTGTTTGTCTTAATTTATTTTTTAAATAAATAACAAAACTTAGGATATTTAGTTCCGTTTTCTTTTAATATTTTTTAATTGAAAAAAAAAGATATTAGATTTTAATTTTCTCTTATATTATTTGTTTATTTGGTTGATTCTTGATGTCAAGTTCCCTTAAGAATTCCATTATACGATTAAACTTTGTTTGGATCGTTTCAATGTTGAATTAGATATTAGGTTTTAAACCTTGACATTATAACTTTAGGATATAATTTCTCCTTTCAAAAACTCAACTTTAATTCCACTAATTGCATGATAACATTAGGGTAGACTTTCCCCTTAGAATTTTCTTTTGCATTGCATATTTCCTAATTAAAACTAAAACTTCTTTCCTTATTCAAAAAAAAAAACACTTAATCATTATTCAAACTCATTCCTCACTTAACAAAATTACTCAACAAATCAAAGATTTCTTCAAAAAGGCGTGTTATCTTCGTTCTACCGCGGTACAGGCCAGGTCTATTGCTAGAATTCATGCACTAACATCGTCCACTAAAAAACACTAATAAACCAACATTTTCTAGAAGAACTACGGTGTTCTGATTCTTTCACGGGATACATAGGCAAAGGGTTGCGAGACCCTCACGAATGCACTAGTAAAAACCATTTCATTTCCCTTAGCAAGTATAGTTTTAGATAGACGCACCCTTAGAAACAAACAATCAAAATGGATCCCGTTGAGTACAATAGATGTGAGGGGTGCTAATACCTTCCCCTCACATAATCGAATTTTGTAACCTCTCTTTTGATTTCAAGACCATCTTATCCATCCTCTTGGGGTTTTCTCGATTGTTGCAACTGGATTTAAAATCAGAGTCGCCACTACTAGTTTTTATCCTAAGGAAGGGAATCTAATAGAAAATCCTAATTTGCAAACAGAGATTCTAGGTTTCTAACTTCTTTAAATGAAAGGAAGGCGTTAGGCACCTTTCATCTACCTTATTCGTAAGGATACTAGGTTTAGGTTTAGGTTTAACAGTTAGGTAAAACGGGGTTTTAATTTTTTATAGGGGAACTCACCATGATTTTAATCGTATGCCTACGTATCCTCTTATGAGGAATCGGAGTCCCAATTTATAGTTCGTATGGGTTTGTGTTTTTTATGGATTTCAAAGTTATTTTGACTTTTCTCGCATTTGGACCGGGTGTAGAGATAGTGGAATTTTGGACTAAACGCGCGATTAGTTAAAATAAATTTGGGACACTTTTGCAAAAATAGTTTGTTAGATTAATTTATTGCGAAAGAAGAGTTTAATATTTGTTAAGTGTTTTTTAGTTATATTAATTATAAAAACTCTAATTAATACATGATTAAGAAATTTAATGCAATATAATAATAAAATATATACATGAATTTTTGGAGAAAAATAATATTAAGTTGAATAATGATAATAATAAAATTTAGAAAATAACAATAATAGTAATAATTTATAAAGAAATAAAGTAAATAAATAAGAAAATATAATAATAATAATAAAATTTAGAAAATAAAATAATTTTTCAGGGGGGTGTAAGCTGAACTAGGAATTAAAAAGGTGGGGGTGTAGATAGTGAGGGCATGAATTCATATATTGAATTCAGGTTCAGTTGGCCTGGGGGTGCGATTTACAATTAAAGAGTAAAACAAGGGGGTATGTTGAGGAAACCGGGCCCAAGTTGAGATATTGAATTGGGCCCAGCGGTAGGGGTGTTTGAATTCAGTTGGTTTAGCGACTACAGAAGGGGAGGGGCGTGGATAGAACTGGGCTAGGCCCATTATGCATTTTGAAAGGGCCTGATTAGGCATCGTACGATAAGGTGCATGGGAATACGGTGGGACTTGGCCTTACGTCCGTCTGATACGAATCGTATGGACATATTTGAGAGAGCATATTTATTATAGTGAGAGTGCATACACTGGATGATTACAGAATATAAGTTTGTTTTTTACATTTTATATTTCATTTTTCATTTTTCATTTACACCCTTTCACTTTCTTCATTCTTTCCCTCATTCAGTTCAAACCCTTACCCTTCTCCTTCTAACCCTAACCGAACACCACTATGACGGTGTTCAACCTCCCTAGATGTACACAGAAAGCAAACATACCCTAAAATACAGTTAAAGCTAAGAACTTGAGCCGTTACCTCTTCGTGATTTCGTGTTCTTTTTTCGAGTTCTCAAGCGATTGAAGATTCAGCTTCTAATCCTTCTCCCTTTCCTTTATTCCCAGGTTCCGAGGATGATGACGGCTCAGGGATATGTTCAACAGAGGCTGGCGGCGGCTCGGCGAAGCTTTGAGGATCAGCGGCGATGTAATTAGGGTTTCAGATATTAAAACCCTAATCTTCTTCTGTCCTCTTCAACACTGGGCTCAGTATCTTTAATTTCTTCTTCGTCTCTGCTTCGTCCTAAAATCCCCTCTCTTCTGTATTTTGTTCATGTATTTATAGGTTTTAGGGTTTACAAATTAGGAAAAGTCGTTACTAGTTTTAGTTAGGGCTTGCATTAGGAGATTAGAGCAATTAGGGATTTAAAATTTGTTGTAATTGATTTTGATTTAAATGTATTGATTCGTTTTGTAATATCGGACAAATTTTCTGAGATTTTGATTGAATGTAACTCTGAGATTTATTGAATAATTGATTCTGTATATTTTCTGAGATTTACTTGTAATAGAATTGATTATGTTCGTTTCTACGAAAAACACAAGACTTGATTTGGTTATTTTTTAGATCGATACAATAATTGTTTGTCCAATTTGAAATGTGCATTTTTTGCACTGATTTGCACAGTAGCGGTTCTTAACTTTGGGCCTTGAACTCTAGTAGAACAACCCAGTATCTTTTTTTTCTACCCAACAAACATTTTTTGTGATCTTGGGCCTTGAATTTCCCAGTAGCAAAACTTTTTTTCATTGCAACAACACTTGTTTTTTTGGATACGGTATGGGCCTACTTCTTTTGGGTTTTTAAAAAGATTTGATCCAACAATAATCTTTTTCAACATAATATTCTTGTTTACAAAAAATCTTTTAATAATAAAATAAAAATAAATCCCTTAATAAATAATTTATAAAGAATATTTACCAAAAAAGATAAAATAAAAGTAAACGGTAATACAGTAACAATAAAATCAAACAATTTTCTCAAAATACCAAATGGGCCCAGATTGCATCCATTGTCTGGGCCTTCAAAAATGAGTTATCATGGGCCAAAAAACATACACCCCCTCTTTACTATTTAATCACCAAAACAAAATGGGCCAACCGTATCACCTAATGGGCTTGTATTCGAGATTGTACCCCCCTCTCTTTACTAAAAACAGTAAAAACTTAATGGGCCTTTAAGCTTTACTTATTGAATCTTACCCCCTTTTTTTTTGAAATAGACTTTCATATTAGAATCTCATGGGCCATTGACCAACATGTCTCATAAATGGGCCTATGGGCATATGGGTCTTTCTGATTTAGAAAGTCCCACTCCGTAGAATTAGGATACACCCCTCTCTTGACTTGAATTCCTATAAATGGGCCATCAGATATTAATGGGCCATTTTCAGTTGAAACACTTTTCTTTCATTTTTAACTTCGAAAATCACACAGTGATATAATCATAAAGGTAGGCAAATTTGGGGTACGACAACTGCCCCTATTCAACTATATTCCAATCGAATAGCGCAATAATACACAGGTCTCGCACGTTCTGATTGGAAGTTTATTGAATACTTGGAATACCCCGAAATTTGTCCGACAAATATAAGGTTATGCTGATATAGAATACCCTTAAAAGTATTGAGAGAAATAGGCAAAGCTGATGATGTATCGCTTACCAGGATTTAAATAAAGGTGAGGATGATGATTTAAAACTTGTATACAGGGATAGGTAAGATGACAATGTGTCATCTTACAAAAGTTTGAGTAGGAGAGAGAGTGTGCTTAGTCAATGCTTGGGATACCCATATGGTAAGTTTTAGTTTGGTTTTGTCTACTCATTGTAACCTAGGGGATGAATAAAATAACACTTGATAACACATGGCTGCTTAGAGACTGAGGTAATGAGTTATGTTTGCGAATCACTGCGTGGAGTCTTAGGCGATGAGCTAAATTTGGATTTCGAACACCGCTGCATGGAGTTTTAGGAAATGGTCTGTATCACGAAATAAAGAAACACACTGCTGCATGGAGTCCTATGCAATGGGTTA